GCCGTTCACCTTTTAAACTCATGCGGGCCAGGAGTATCATGTAGTTTAGACTCTTACGATAAGGAGTGTTTACATTTCACGCATAAAATCTTTTAAGAAATTTGCCGTTAATTGGACCAATTCTCAATCCATCTTTATCAACGATCTTATATGCTCCATTTGTGTAAACTTCTTTGATGATGTAGGGTCCATCCCATTTAGGTGTGAACTTATTCCCTGTGTGACGCGTCGTGATGATAGGTCTTCGAACAGCAAGTACCATATCACCAACTTGAAATGACCRAAGCCGAACATTTTTATTGAAGGCTTTGGTCATTCAAGCYTGATAGCATTCCAATGTTTGCTGCGCATCAAGTCTCTTTTCGTCAAGTGCTTCTAACTCTTGAAGGCGTAATTTTGCATTATCTTCAGTGGTTAAACCTTCTAGCACTGTCATTCTTAGTGATGGAATTTCTCGCTCCAATGGAAGGATAGCTTCTACACCATAAACTAAAGAGTAAGGCGTAGCTCCTATAGGAGTACGATGAGTAGTTCGATAAGGCCATAACACTTCACCGATCTTTTCTTGCCAGTCTCTTTTTGTCTTGGAGACCACCTTCCTCAATAAGTTGCATAACGTCTTGTTGAATGCTTCTGCCAATCCATTCGCTGCAGCATTATACATGGACGATTTATATTGCTTGAAGCTAAACTTTTCACATAGTTTGTCCATCAGACTATTGGAGAATTGTCTACCATTGTCAGTGACAATTCGTTGAGGTATTCCGTACCGAAAAATTATATGAGTTCGAACGAAATTTACAATGTTCTCTTTCTTTGCCTCTTTTAGTGTAATCGCTTCAGCCCACCTTGAAAAATAATCAGTCGCTGCGAGTATGTAAGAATGTCCAGCTGAAGATTTGGGTGTTATAGGACCGACAAGATCGAGTCCCCAAGATTCGAATGGCCACGAAGCTACTGTGGGGTGTAGAGGCTCTGGTGGCTCATGTAGGAAATTAGCGTGAATCTGACAAGCTTCACACTTCTTCGCATATTCCATAGAATCTTGAACCATTGTGGGCCAATAATAACCCATTCTYTTTAATCRGAGATGGAGYTTTGGTCCAGATTGGTGAGCACCACAAACTCCCGAGTGTGCTTCTTCTAATGCCTTAGCTGATTCTTCCTTTCCCAAACATCGAAGGAAGAGGCCTTCAAATGAACGACGGTACAAAKTATCTTTGTAGTAGATAAATCGAGCAGCTCTTCTACGTATTTCAGTCTTATGTCGGAGATCCACTGGAAGCTTTCCATGTTGAAGATAATCTAGAATGGACTGTCGCCAATCTTCTTCTTCAATAATGCAAACTGATATAGCATTTGCTTCTTGATGCTCACTTTCAATTGGTGGGGTGACCCATTTCTGGCGGAGTGAAATGTGCAACGTCTCATCTTCTAAAACCGTAAGAGCAGTAGCCAAATTTGCTAGGGCATCTGCCTTTTTGTTCTCCGAACGAGGAACATGCTCTAGTGTTACACCATCAAACCTCTCTAGTAGTCGTCTCGCATAAACGAAGTAAGGCTGAAGGTCTTCGTGCTTCACATCATACTCCAGCAGAAGTTGGTTGATTATCAACTTCGAGTCGCCGTAGATCTCAATGTATGTTATTCCGATTTCTATGGCAATTTGAAGTCCTATGATGATCGCTTGATATTCAGCAGCATTGTTTGAACACAATTCACCAAGTGTGAAGCTATAGGGTAACATATATTTCACAGGTGAGACAAAGACAACACCTGCCCCCGCTCCATTTCTTCATGCTRCACCATCAAAGTACATGGTCCAAGGTTYCTTTACTTCAACATAGAATACTTCTTCATCAGGCAAGTCCTCGCACAATTTCCAATCTGATGGGACTGGATGATTCGCTAGGAAGTCTGCTAATGCTTGCCCTTTCATTGCCTTTTGCGGTACGTAAACAATATCGTACTGTTGGAGCAAAATAGCCCATTTTGCCAGACGTCCCGAAATGATCGGCCTCGATAAGATATATTTCATTGGATCAGCCTTAGCAACTAGATGCACCGTAAAGGCTTGTATATAGTGCCTTAATTTATCGACAGCGAAGAAGAGAGAAAGACACATCTTCTCAATTGGAGAGTAGTTTAACTCAGCTCCGATTAAGGTTCTACTCAAGTTATAAAGGGCTCGTTCTTTCCCTTTTTCTCCTTCTTGTGCCAACAACGCTCCGAGCGATCTTTCTTGCGCCGTGATATATAATATCAACGGCTTTCCTGCTATGGGTGACCTAAGACGGGTGGATTAAGCAAGTATTTTTTTATGCTTTCAAAAGCATTTTCACATGCTTGATCCCACTCAAAACTTGTATCCTTCCTCATCAATCTCTGGAAAGGTTGGCATCGGCCAGCTAGGTTGGAGATGAATCTCYTGATATAGGCCAGACGACCCTGAAGGCTTCTCAGCTCATGTAAGTTCCTAGGTCTTGGTATTTTTTGAATAGCGTCAATCTTTGACTGATCGATTTCGATTCCCCGATATCTTACAATGAAACCAAGGAACTTTCCCGAGGTAACTCCGAATGCACACTTGAGAGGATTCATCTTTAATTGATACTTTCTCAAGCGATCAAAGACTACTTTTAGATCCCCCAGATGATCTTGTYGCTTTTTGGACTTAACCACGAGATCGTCAACGTAACATTCAACATGTTTATGTAGCATGTCATCARAGACCTTTTGCATGGCGTGCTGATAAGTGGCACCTGCATTTTTTAGTCCGAAGGGCATTACCTTATAACAATATATCTCTTTCGGAGTTCAAAATTCTRTCATTTCTTCGTCTTCGAGTGCCATCCGAATTTGATTGTATCCTGATGATCCATCCATGAAAGATAAGGATTCATGTCCTGTAGTAGCATCAACCATGATTTCAGTGATTGGTAATGGAAAATCATCCTTGGGACATGCATTGTTTAAGTCACGAAAATCAACGCACACACRAAGTTGGCCGTTCTTCTTTCTTACCGGAACAATGTTTGCTATCCATGTTGGATATTTCACCTCACGGATGAAACCCGCCTCTATCAATTTATTGACCTCAACTTCGATTTGAGGTATAAGTTCTGGTCGAAATCGACGTTGTGCTTGTTTCACTGGCCGATATCCTTGTTTAATTGCAAGGTGATGGACTGCCACTTTTGGATCAAGTCCTGGCATTTCTTTATATGACCAAKCAAAAATATCTCTGTATGTGATGAGTAKGTTCATATATTTACTTTCTTCATCACGAGTAAGTGACGCACTTATGAAGGTTGRACGCGGATCTTCTATCGTGCCAAGATTTACTTCCTTAAGTTCGTCAACTGTTGGCTGATTACCATCTTCTAATGATGATGGGGCTTCTTCGACATCTTCTTCAGATGTTTCAGTGTGTGAGGCCTCTTCAACAGTAACATGGCAACATTCGGCCTTATCTTCCTCGTACTCTTCACTCTCATCCAACGGTCTTGTTAGGATGATAGTATGCGGCTTCACCTTCAAGGAGCCCTCCGTACTTACAAAAATACGAGTCCTTCTTCTCATTCTGGAAGGAACACTACTAYAGATTTCTTTGTCACATTTCGTCTCAGTAAATTGCCTCTTTTTTGAAGCTTCTCCTGTCCCTTCATGTCTCAGGCGTTCAAAAACTGATGCAGAACATTTGTCCGTATTTTTCGCTGGTGTAAAGCTTAGTCTTCGRAAAACTGAAGGTCGTTTAGAAGAAATAGGTACACGTGAGCTTCCTTCTTCTCTTGTGGTCGTGCCTAACCTCTGAAAAGCCGAAGTGCGCGTAGAACTAGAAGCTGGATATGAAGCTTCTTCTTCTGCAGTACCGACACCTAATCTTTCGAAGATCAAAGAGYGTGCAACTGGCAGTCTGATGCGATCTAACGCAGAAACCCTTTGGTTAGCACTTTCTTTATTTTTTTCAAGGTCGTCAGCTTCTTCTACCGTAATATGGTTCGTGTCTGCGACCTTTGCTTTTCCTTTCCTGGTAATGCGAACAGGCTCTGGTGATTTATATCCAAGGCCTGCTCTAGAGGTAGGTATRACGTAACCCTYTTTTTGCAACTTCTTTTGGGTTGAAGAAAGTTTGRGTATTTCATCGAAGATCCTTAGGCTTTTAAACTCAGTATGAGTTGTAAAATCATAACCTGCTTTTGCCAAAAGCTTATATGCTTTAGGGTCAAATCCATCCTTCGTTCGCTTCTCAGGCAAGATCACCTTTATCTGGTCGTCCTCGGACTTTTTAGCCTCTTGCTTTGTTATCTTTGTAAGAGGCTTGGTGAAGTTCTCTTTCACGATTTCTACATCACCGATCTTTAGATTTCCCGAGCATTCCATAAATGGTGATTCACCCTTTTTTCACCGATATAAAGGGACATAGCGAAGGATAGGAGCACTTGGCACTTTCGCAACCTTCGAAGCCCATAACTTTGTGGCGCTAGTAGATGTTTCATTCTTTTGGACATTAGAAGTATTTACTTCTTTGATTAATCTTTTGGCTGAAGAATCTTCCAGTTGTTCTGACTTAGGTTTATCACAGCTCTTGATCAAGGGGATTTCTGTGGRTATAGTTTCCCCTATAACCTCAGTCTTCATATAGAATTTCGCATCTGCGAAATGAGACTCAGCCTCTGAGAACGGGTTCGTATCAGCTTTAATTTTCTTAATGCCATCTTGATAAAATTTGAAACATTGATGAAGTGTGGACGTTACTACTCCATTTCCATGAATCCAAGGGCGCCCTAATAATAACTTGTAGGTGGTCCTGGAGTCTATGACATGGAATAGAGTGTTAGCCTTTAAGTCCCCAATGCTGAGTTCAAGACGGATCATGCCAATTGTTCGCTGACCACCTTGACTGAAACCTTGGATCACCAGTTTACTATYTGATAACTCTTCCATCGAAATGCCTAGCTGCTTCATGGTTGACTTAGGCATTATARTGACAGCTGAGCCATCATCAATAAGAATTCGATCGACCTTTTGTTCCCGAATATATCCTGAGACAAATAACGRTCTGTTATGGGGTTTTGACCCAAGCAACAGATCTTCATCTGTGAAGCCAATAGACGTACAACATGAAGCACATGTGTTTGCTTGAGAGGCCGGAATGTCAGAATCTTTCAATGCCTTAACAAGAGCATTTTTTACCTCTCGAGAAAGCGACAACAAATCACTTATATTGAAAGATGACATACCTTCTGACTTTGTCGTTGCTTCTGTTGAACTTGTAGAAGCATTGTCATTGTCAGTTATAGTGATAGTGTGACAAGAAACTATTTCAAAGATTTCCTCTTGATTATCATTAAGGAAACTCGCTGGAAAGAAATCTTCCAAAGTTATCACTTGTTGAGGTCGAGAAATATATTCGTTCTCTTCCACGACCAGCTTAGGTTTCCTCAAACTTTTATTTCTTTTTTTCTTCTGAATTCTGCTTCTTATTTTTTGGTCTCGATATAAGCGAGACTCTTTCTTGAAGCAATTTTGTTTTTGCTTCTTCCCACGAGTTACGAGAGTCCATTCTCCTTCTYCATCCTCTGTAAATTCGTCTTTTTCTTGGAAGTTCTTCCTATGAGCTGTATGTTGGGATGAAATGGCCATAGGTTCGAGGGTCCCAAATTGGATYCAAACCACTTCGTCGTCATGAAATGAGATTGTCGACGACTGACTGCCGGAATTTGGGATTATTRCAGCATGATTTGTTTGGGCCACTTCATCAAGATCCAGCTCAATTTTCTTTTCTCGAGCGAGCTTCAAGATTCGTTCTTTCAAAATGAAGCATTTTTCTATTGGATGACTAACGACTCGATGATATACACAATAGTTAGGATCATTTGTTTTTCCCATTTGTTYAGGTCGTTTGCATTCAGRAAGTTCTATGAGTCCCTTTTCTAGTARTTGCTCTAACATATCTGCAAGGTCAGAATCTGGAAAAGGATAAACCTTTTCTTGTYTTTCTTCCAGAGATGGGCGACGTCTTACCTTTTCATCTTGTCGCTTTTCTATCTTCCTTTCTTTTTCTTTTCCTTTCGAGGAAAATTTGAGAGGAGTCGTGTTAACGACCATAGATTCCTTCATAGAACCCTTGGAGATCTTCTCTGTGCTCTTCATTTCCTTCTTCTCTTTYTTCACATCTGAGACCAGAGGCTCTTTATTACCTCTACTAGCAATACTTATCTCCATGTCATGAGCACGAGTTGCTAGTTCTTCAAATGTGCGGGGTTTTATCCCTTGAAGGATATAAAGAAGTCCCYAATTCATGCCTTGAGTGCACATTTCCACACCAGATACTTCYGTGAGTTTGTCCTTACAGTCAAGACTTAGAGTTCTCCACCAGTTGATATATTCAATAACCGGTTCACCTTTTCTTTGTTTGCAACTGGTGAGCTCCATCATACTGACGGTTCTCCTTGTGCTGTAAAAGCAATTCAAGAATTCTCTTTCAAGTTGTTCCCAACTCTCGATTGTTTCAGGTTCGAGATCAGTATACCAGTCAAAGGCGTTTCCCTTCAACGTTCGGACGAACTGCTTGACCATTTGATCGCCTCTTGTGCCAGCATTCTCACAAGTTTCGACGAAGTGGGCAATATGTTGCTTGGGATTGCCCTTTCCATCGAAATGCTGGAACTTTGGAGGTTGGTATCCGGCARGCATTCTTAGATCATTAATCCTCTTAGTATATGGTTTAGAATACAAGAGGGAGCTTTGAGAAGGTCCGYCGTATTGCGCTCTGATCGTGTTCGTGATCATATCTTGGAGCTGCTGAACAGACAGCGAAGCGATCGAAGTGGAATACTGCGATTGATTTTCTTGAGCGATAGTCTTTCCCTTATCATTTATCTTGAGAGCAGGGGTTTGACTCGACTCGGCAACATCTTTATTTTCAATCTGATTCTTCAGGGAAGCGATTTTATAGTCCCTTTCTTCCACTGTCTTCATCAACACAGCGAGTTTCCTTTCCATTTCAGCCATCCTTTCTTCCGTGCTGCTTGCATCGGCCATCATAACAGACATCACATCGATTTCTGGAATTTTCTCCAATTGAACAGAGGAAGGAGCAGACTCGATGAACAAAGGATT